CAAAAAAATTCAATTTTTCTTAGGCAGACGATTTTATTGCATATTCTTGCACAAAATACACCAAAAAAATTCAATTTTTCTTAGGCAGACTATTTTTTTGCAATTTCTTGCACAAAATACACCTAAAAGGGTAGAAAAAATTGACAGCCCGATCCGAGTAGAGGAACACTAATTTTATGACCATTAAAGCGATTTTCGTAAAAAAAAATTTTCAAAAAAATTCAATTTTTCTTAGGCAGTCTATTTTATTGCAATTTTTTGCACAAAATACACCCGAAAGTGTAGAAAAAAATTGACAGCCCGATCCGAGTAGAGGAAGATCCCTATGATGACCTTTAAAGCGATTTTCGTAAAAAAAAAATTTTCGAAAAAATTCAATTTTTCTTAGGCAGACTATTTTATTGCAATTTCTTGCCCAAAATACACCTGAAAGTGTAGAAAAAAATTGACAGCCCGATCCGAGTAGAGGAACACCAATTTTATGACCATTAAAGCGATTTTCGTAAAAAGAAAAATTTTCAAAAAAATTGAATTTGTTTAGCCAGACTATTTTATTTAAAATTGTTGCATAAAATACAAATAAAAGTGTAGAAAAAAATTAATACTTTTATACAAGTAGCGGAATGACCATATTACCACCCTTAAGGCAACCCCTGAGTTAAATAAATTTTTGTTTTGTAATTGTTTGTTGTGTTTATACATTATCTTGGTTTTTAGATGTTCAATGATCGTAATCGATGTAAACTTCACCGACTGGAAATGGGAAATTAGAGTAACGAGTACAGCAACTGACACTTTCAGTCAAACATTTTTGTGTTTCATAATTAAAACGTATTTACTTAAAACTTTTGTTTGAAATACAGTAGAACGTATCGTAGCCGAAATCACGCCACCTAACTGTTTATGATTGGCTTGATCGCGTACGGCTTTAGAGCCGTACCTTACTTTTATTAGCTACGACTTGTTAATTAATTTTTTGACAATTTTTTAAAAAGAACGTTATTAATTATCCAAAATATATTTTTCATAAATTTCATACTAAATTTATGCTCCATTAAAAAAATAATTCGAACAAATAAGAATTTGTCTAAAATAAAATTTGGTTGCTTGAAATAAATTTTTTTCGGAGTGTTATTTTACAGAATTAAGGGTATGAAAGGGATGTGTTTGCAAGGTCGACGCATGTACTAGTCGTGACGCGCAGTTCCGAAAAGGGACTTGATTTCGAGGTTCTCGCATAGTGAATATATATATATATAAGGGGTGCTTTTTACCTAGCTTTCATTGGCAAGTGGCAACCCCTCGCCATATCCCGACAGACTTCGACCCCTATATAATACGAAGCCTGGTCTGCGTCATATGAACGAGACGAACCCGACCAGGCGCAACCTGTAGCTGATCCTGACCGACGCGCCTCTCTCTCTTTCTGTGTCCGGAAATTCATCCACGCTCGATTCTCAAACTAACTCTCAGTTAGACTTTGTCTCCTAAGCCGTTTACATCGTGGGGGTGCGAAGTGGAGACCAATCATTCGAGATATCATTTTTCATTTTTTACCACCTCCCATCCCACCGGATGTCAATGTCCGTAAAACCTCACGCGTGTCAATGACAATCGAAAAAAAAGTGTAAATCAAAGTGCCAGCAACTGTGTTTACAATCGGCTAATTATGTGAGAAAAATTCACGCACATTTTTCTTCAAAACTGCACAAATGAATTCTAAAATGGTATTTTTCATCTTTATTATAGTGTAATAATATTATTTTTTTTAAATCATACTTTTTGAAAAAATTCGATTCAAATAAATTGATTTGGTTCAAATAAAAATTATTTGAAATATAAATGTTTATTAGAATCAAATTGCTTGATTGAATTGCTTTTTTTACAATAAGGTACACTGAGAAAAGTGTTTTTTCTTGTTATTATTTATTAATAAATTGAACAAGTCTTTTCTTTTATTTATGTACTCAAAACTAAAAGTTTGCAAACTCAAAATTGTTTTACGTTATGTTTTTAATTGCTTTTAATTGTATATTTTGTATACAACTATATTTAAATACCTATTGTTTTTCGGGGAAAAAAATTCATTTGAAGCTAAAATATTTTTTTTTAATTGCTCCACCAAAAATTTTATTCATGCTTTAGAGAATAGTTATTATATTATATAGTGTAACATAATATTAATTTATTTAATTACAATGTACAAGCTTACAAAAGGAAAAGAATGCTCTTTAGTGCAGAAGCACTTAGTATTTTAAAAAATTGTAAAAAGTATAATATAATATAACAAATGTCGATGAAATTCGCAATGTTTATGATCAATGATTTAGAAGTAAAATTATATTTCTTTGCAAATTATTATAATTTTGTGTCTACAAAAATTTTTATAACTTTTCTCGATTCACAAATTTTAAAAGAAAATATAATTTGTAGGCAAAAAATTTTATTACTTTCTGGATGAAAAATATTTGTTTTTTTTCAATCATTGATCATAAACGTTCTATACACTTCACCGACGTTATAATAATATAGATATAAATATAATATAAAATAATAAACAAAGAAAAAACATTTTTTAACTACTCCAATAAATGTTTGTTTGTTTTATAACTGATGCTATATTTAGAATAATAAATATTTATTTCCAATAAATAACATAACCAACTAAAAACCTGAAATTTATTAATGTATTTATTATTATACAAATTGAAAATAATATCAGCAAACATTTCAAAACGTGAAATTTTCATTTCACGAAGTTTTAAAATAAAATATTTACTTAATTACATTTCCAAAAAAAAAAAAAAAAAAATGCTTTGAAATTGATCAATAATTTTCTCTCTCTCAAATAACACAGGCTTGCATAGTTTTTTATATTTTTGATATTAGAGTTGTTTCTAATGTATTTTTGTCTACTGAACACGATCCTGTGTTCCAAACTTCTTTAGCACGTCAGGATTTTGAGAAAAGTGGGGGTAAAGACCACAAAAAACGTGTTTTTGGGATTTTTAAAATATTTTTTTTCTCTTTAACCTGACGTTCTAAAGACTTCCGTTCATTAAAGCTTTATTCGCACACTTTAAGACTCATAAGGCGCAAGACCAAAAAAATAGAGAATTTTGAGAAAAGTGGGGGTAAAGACCCCAAAAAATTTTTTTTGCTTATTTTTGATATCGGAGTGGTTTCCAATGTATTTTTGTCCGCTGAATACGATCCCGGGTACTAAAATTGCCTAGAACGTCAAGATTTTGAGAAAAGTGGGGGTAATGAAAAAAAAAAATTTTTTTTGGCCTTTACTCCCACTTTTCTCAAAATCTTGACGTGATAGACAATTTTGAGACCCGGGATCGTGTTCAACGGACAAAAATTCTTTGATAAGCACTATTTGAAATGAAAATTAAAAAAAGAGTCGAATTTTGCATGCCTATGTAATTTTTAGGTGCAGTGTGTAACAAATATATATAAAAATATTAGTAAACAATTTAATTTAAAAATTATAACATTCCCAATATATATTAATAATTTTTTTTTTATCTATTCTATAGACAAAAATTCTATTATTAAATAAGCCTATTGTAATAAAAAATTGCATATATCTAAATTTGTATAGACTCTTGATAATAATCGTTTCTCATAATAATTGTTAACGATTAAATTTTAGTGAATTATCGCACTCATATTTAATAGCTTTAATATTTTATTAAATCCACTTCTGCGAATACATATAATAACGCGGCTAAAAGTATTACATTACTGTCGGAACAAATCGCGAGATATTTCTACTGGCTAAGTCTATCGGGAAATTATTGCCTTCTATATGCTTTTGTTTCTTCTTTTTTATTCAAAAATCATTCATATTCTTTGTCAATAGTTTTGTGCGATGTCGAATATTTAATTTCAACTTTTGCGAAAACTTATTTTATTTTATAAAAATATTTAATTACGAAAGAGAAAAATTAATTAAATAAATATTTTATTTGTTATTATTTGCTATTCTGCCGTACGAAATAAAAACTTACTTAACTCATATTTTCGTGAAACCGAGAAAATGATGAAAGACTGTTTGTCTTAAAAAACCTAATATAATATAAATAATTCTTTAATCTAACTTCACTTTCTAGGTAAATAAATAGAGTTCTTTCTAAATCCGTTGTCAAAAATTGATTATTTAAACAAATTATATTAAATAATTGAGATAAGTGTTTTTTTACACAAGCAAAACTTAGTTAACTCGAGTTAAGGAGTGCTTTCCGAAAAGGTAGGCGAGTTCGAGCCGCCGCTCAGAAGTAAAAACTCACCTAACTCAAGCTAGCACGCGAGGTGGGGGAATAAATACACATTATAAAAAATTTGTTTTTGAGTTAAATTTTATTCTGATTGTGATTAACAAAGATTATTTTTATTATTTTTAATTTATATATTTTTTTATTATTTTATTATTTATTAATATTTTTTTAAAAATTAAATTTTAATCAACATGTTTCAGTATAAAATTTATTACAATTAAAAATGTGTAGAAGGATTGTATGAAAAAACGGCGTTATTAGTGGAAAAACATTGATTATATTTGCTTATAATATTCAAATAACTTACAACAGCTGTTTATAATTACTACAACAGTCTTTATATAATAATCAACAGTAAAAAACTATTAATTAAACTTTTTAAAAGTAAAAAAAATCAAAGAAAATTTTGTATTTTTTTCGTTTTTTTTTTCACTTATTTATTTTTTTCTAAAGTAAACTTTTTCTAAAAAGCCGGTGCATTATTTGCAAGAATAACAAACCGGCATGATCATAGCACGCGAGATTCCGAACCAACCCGACGAGAAACCGAAGTTAAACGATGTTGAGTTGAGGAGTTTGCTTTCGAAACACAGGGTCTAGCTCACGCCACTTTTCGAAATAAATACTCACTTAACTCGAGTTAAGGTTTTCGTTTCGAAACTATGCATGAAATTCGACTACGTTTTTGACAGCAAAAATACTCAACTCGAGTTGACTGAGTTTTTGTTTCTTATATCATGCTCGAGCTACGACTTTCGGACTCCTTAACTCGAGTTAGCATACTTTTTATGTAGTATTTCTTCATTTTCTGGGTTTTCGACAATTTTTTATAATTATTTTTTTGCAATAAATAATTAAATAAAAATTTTTTAATAATACCATCAGACGCGTTTTTTTATTACGAATCCATTGATACCAAAAACTCATTTTTCGCCAAAATATGAGTTAACTAAGTTTTTACTTCGTACGGCAGTATTTTCATGTTTATAAATATTTTATTTCAACGTTATTGATTGTTTTAGAACTGAATTTATTTTTTTACTTTTTTGTCGATTCTATACTGAAAGAAATATATATTTATACTAGAGGGGCTACGCCCCCCTGCCCCCCCTATTTTTGGCGGGAAATACAGAAAGAGATGAGGGAAGGGGGAAGGACTTACTGCTTTATTAGGGTCTTAAAACAAACATAACCTCAAAATTTAGGTCAATTTTTGGCAGAGGAGGGGAAATGAGAGGAGGGAGGGGGGACTTGCGGCTATATTCAGAGCCTTGAAACGAACATAACCTCAAAATTTAGGTCATTTCTGGCGGGGGAGGGGAGGGGACTTGCGGCTATATTCAGAGTCTTGAAACGAACATAACCTCAAAATTTAGGTCATTTTTGACGGAGGAGGGGAAATGAGAGGAGGAAGGGGGACTTGCGGCTAAATTCAGAGCCTTGAAACGAACATAACCTCAAAATTGAAGAGGGGGGACTCCCTCCTCCTAGGTCAAGAATTCTTGAATCACCGGCGGCGGCGGCGATATCTTTTTATAATATAGTAATGATATATATATATATATATATATATATATATATATATATATATATATATATATATATATATATATTAAATTTAAAATGTTTATAGTAAAATTTGGTTTTTTGGCTTTTTATAGGACAAGTAAAAGATATTAAGAAACATCTTTAACGTTTCGGAATCGGTACCGATTCCCCTCGTTAAAGATGTTTCTTAATATCTTTTACTTGTCCTATAAAAAGCCAAAAAACCAAATTTTACTATAAACATTTATAATTAATTGGGACATAAAAAATTTTAATTAAATTTAAAAGTAGAAATTTTAGTAAATATTTTGCAATTTAGGTAAAACGTGTCAAAATGTGAAATATTGATTTAAAAAATACTAAATCGCAGAATAGAGTTTGTGGAATTATTAAAAATTTTATTAAAGTTCGTAAAAATTGACTAGAATTTGAAAAACATTTATTTAAAATTGAAATATATATTGTAATTTTTTATTATCAATATTTATTCCTATTTTGACACTTTTTCTCTAAATTGAACAATATTCACTAAAATTTCTCCTATACTTATTGAAATATTAATATACAAGGTGATTTTTATGTTCCGGACTCCTTAAAAAATTTTTTTAATCTTATTTTTTTCGTTTTTTTAATAAAAAAAAGAAAGTGTAATTAAAAAGAAAATTTTTTTGAACGTCTGGAGCATGAAAATCACCCTGTATATTTTCTTTCATTGTATAATATTCGTGCAGAAATTAAAATGTGGGACTGATGGGGTTCTAACTAGATTTCCCTATCTCTGATGAGGACCACGCTCTTCCCGATCTTTTTATATTTATTATATTATTATTATTATTTAGTTAAAATATCCTACTTGGGGAAAAATTTGTTAGGACCTAGTCAATTTTCCTTTA